ACATTTTTTACGGATAGTCAACGAAGGTTTTAAGAATGATGGAAAGTTTGAAACTCCTGGAAAAACAGGCAAGGCCGACCAAAGAAAGAAATGGTCACATAAAGAACCATGGCCAGATGCTTTCAGTGAAGATACCTATCACTAATTTTACTAACTGCACATTTACAAATTGTTTATCTAAATAAACTTTTTATATACTATAAAATGATTTTTAGTATTATTTTCTTAACAAGTGTGTTAAAAAACGTCGTATGATGATACTTATGTGTATTGATGATTACCTAACGGCTCTGGTCTCAATAGCACCTCAGCGGTAATCACCAACATTACACACTTTTACACTATAAAGTGCTATTTTATCTATAATAATTTTATTCTGATTCAATTAAATATGCTTGGCTATATATGCATAAGCATAGGTACCTACTATATATAAAACAGAAACAAAATACGACTGTATAGTGTGTCTTATTAATAACCTATTTTACTTGAATGAACTGCTAGTATCAAAATCATTTTGGTCCGACTGTACAGGGTTGCTACATGCATACTAGTGGCGCCATCATTTAATGTCACGACTTTATAGACAAACTGTAGGCTAGTTGACCCATGTCATGTCAAATTGTATACAAATAATAACATACAAATGTTTTTTTCTTATAGTTTTTGGTATTAGGAACCTAAATACATCGATTTCACTTCATAAAATCCATCTTCTAGATGGCTGCAGTAATTTAATTTGAAAAATAGTTTTTATATCATAGACTATATATTGTTTTAAACTTTCATGGTCACTAACTTAGCTATTAATGGGATTCTTACCATGTACCTTGTTTTTTATGTGTCTCCGATATTTCGGCACTGTTGCAAGCGGCATGATCACGGAGTAACTGAAGTAATTGCAGGTAGATGTTATTGGCAGACATATCGGTCTACCCTCTGACGTCGTCGTTTACTGCGCTCGTTACCCCTACCATTGGTCACATTCTGCCTATTCACTCGCACCTGTTCCCGACACACAATACTCACAGTATCAGATCGTGGAACGACACTTTTTTGATTTTTACGGTTTTTGCACATACGAACTATTGGATTCCAGACACATGACAATTTAAACCCATCCTCACGATTGAAATTTTTGTGTTTGGTTATTTCAATCGCTTCACTGACCAATCTTGTATGTAGTGGCGTTCTGTCGAGATGATTTGTGGATTATGTAGCTCATCCAGTGATTAGGACCCGAATCAATTAAATGTTCCGCGATAGCTGATTTTTGCTTATCATTGTTTCTGACTGCTTTTATGTGTTCTTTCATTCGGCACGCTATTGTCCGCTTCGTTCGGCCACTATACGAACTACTACAGCTGCATTCGATCTTATATACACCAGGTTTCTCCAAAGGGAAGTTGTCTTTGGGAGATCGTAGAAACTGTGCCACTTTTTGTAAAGGAGTGAAGACTGTCACTGAATAGTGAGTACTTAAGTATGTTCGAGATCTTGTCTGTCACTCCTTTGATATATGTCAAAAATACTGGTTGCCTGCCTACTTTGTGCGTCGTAATAATATTGTTTGTAATAATATTGTGTGTTATATTTTATAAGTGTGTGTGTGTGTGTAACTACGTACTGCACTAATATTATAAATAAGTATGTTTTGTACCATTATGTCTTCTTCAATAAATGGACACCAACCTATCTACGTCTTTGTATTTATTATAACCTGCCGCCATCACCCAACATACCACAGGGCCCTGCTCACTTCGTCGAGTCTCAGGGCTGGCTGAAGTGGACGGGGAAGAGTCCCACATACCTTCTTTTCGCTCCCCCAGTGGTTGAAGGATGCGTAAAGCGTTTTCCAGGCACAAATAAAAAAAAAGCAAAAAAGGTACTGGTGTCGACTCTGGCGTGATTCTCTAAATTTGAAACTAAATTTAACATCAGTCTCTCCTTTTCATTCTGTATAGAGCATGCCAAGGATACACTGTTGTCAAATTTAAGTTTAGATTTAGAGAATCATGCCAGAATCGATACCACTATTTTTAAATTTAGAAGTGGCGATATAACAATTTTTAATCAAATCAAATTAGCAAAGTAAAACGACTCAGTCTATTATATTAAGCCCAAGGTGACTTATCATTTATGAAATCTTTAACAGCGTAGTAACCTATCTTAAGGAGACATGTTTTTATACACACTTAAAACTTAATTAAAGGTAAATTAATTATTTCTTTTGGTATTTTATTAAAGTAACATATAACTTGACCCACAAATGAACCAAGAACCTTTTGGAGTCTCAATGGTGGCAATTTGAGTTTGTAAAAGTTGGAGTATGTACAATGTACAATGTTGTACGGCGGGTCCTACAGGATAATGCATACAAGGGACAGTTTCCACACAAACACAAATTAAGGCACCAGACGCACAAAGTAGGCAGGCAACCAGTATTTTTGACATATATCAAAGGAGTGACAGAAAAGATCTCGAACATACTTAAGTACTCACTATTCAGTGACAGTCTTCCCTCCTTTACAAAAAGTGGCACAGTTTCTACGATCTCCCAAAGACAACTTCCCTTTGGAGAAACCTGGTGTATATAAGATCGAATGCAGCTGTAGTAGTTCGTATAGTGGCCGAACGAAGCGGACAATAGCGTGCCGAATGAAAGAACACATAAAAGCAGTCAGAAACAATGATAAGCAAAAATCAGCTATCGCGGAACATTTAATTGATTCGGGTCCTAATCACTGGATGAGCTACATAATCCACAAATCATCTCGACAGAACGCCACTACATACAAGATTGGTCAGTGAAGCGATTGAAATAACCAAACACAAAAATTTCAATCGTGAGGATGGGTTTAAATTGTCATGTGTCTGGAATCCAATAGTTCGTATGTGCAAAAACCGTAAAAATCAAAAAAGTGTCGTTCCACGATCTGATACTGTGAGTATTGTGTGTCGGGAACAGGTGCGAGTGAATAGGCAGAATGTGACCAATGGTAGGGGTAACGAGCGCAGTAAACGACGACGTCAGAGGGTAGACCGATATGTCTGCCAATAACATCTACCTGCAATTACTTCAGTTACTCCGTGATCATGACGCTTGCAACAGTGCCGAAATATCGGAGACACATAAAAAACAAGGTACATGGTAAGAATCCCATTAATAGCTAAGTTAGTGACCATGAAAGTTTAAAACAATATATAGTCTATGATATAAAAACTATTTTTCAAATTAAATTACTGCAGCCATCTAGAAGATGGATTTTATGAAGTGAAATCGATGTATTTAGGTTCCTAATACCAAAAACTATAAGAAAAAAACATTTGTATGTTATTATTTGTATACAATTTGACATGACATGGGTCAACTAGCCTACAGTTTGTCTATAAAGTCGTGACATTAAATGATGGCGCCACTAGTATGCATGTAGCAACCCTGTACAGTCGGACCAAAATGATTTTGATACTAGCAGTTCATTCAAGTAAAATAGGTTATTAATAAGACACACTATACAGTCGTATTTTGTTTCTGTTTTATATATAGTAGATACCTATGCTTATGCATATATAGCCAAGCATATTTAATTGAATCAGAATAAAATTATTATAGATAAAATAGCACTTTATAGTGTAAAAGTGTGTAATGTTGGTGATTACCGCTGAGGTGCTATTGAGACCAGAGCCGTTAGGTAATCATCAATACACATAAGTATCATCATACGACGTTTTTTAACACACTTGTTAAGAAAATAATACTAAAAATCATTTTATAGTATATAAAAAGTTTATTTAGATAAACAATTTGTAAATGTGCAGTTAGTAAAATTAGTGATAGGTATCTTCACTGAAAGCATCTGGCCATGGTTCTTTATGTGACCATTTCTTTCTTTGGTCGGCCTTGCCTGTTTTTCCAGGAGTTTCAAACTTTCCATCATTCTTAAAACCTTCGTTGACTATCCGACTCTGATTTTCCTGAAAAAATGTAAAAAATATGTAACGGAATAGAAACAATGACTTATTGACATGAAGCAATTAATTCAAAATTGGTAGAAAACCTGACCGAGTTGAACCATAATAACGTATCAAAAGAAATGGTCGTACTACAATATTACCTATTTACAATGTCAATCTAACCTAAAATGTGCAATGTAAACAATGCCTTTTTTGGTCTCAAAATCTTAAATTGAGTAAATTTGTAACTTCAGGCAGATTACAAACAAATAGTTACACGATTACATACCCGTCATAGATGCTGTTCGCCCATAAACATCATCCAAATCCAATGACTAAAGAAGACTTTGTTACTCTCGAGTCCAAATCCCACAAAATTCGTCCAGCTTGGTAGTCTTCGAAACATCGCTGGAAAACTTTAAAAATCACTTCCCGCGTGCCAATCCGATTTACTTTACTCATTTTTATACCTTTCTGCGTAGTTTTGTCTTAATTTATTACAGTTTAATCCAAACAATAAAAAATACAAAAAGAAAAGTGTTCCACAATTGAAACTCGATGACAGCTGATGTACATAAGTTTGGTATTGCCAGACACACATGAATAATGTTAGTTCCTCAAACATTCATGTCACGACTTTATTTATAGACAAACTGTATTTTTTTACTTCACATTGGCCGAAAGCACAAACCGTGCATGCCATAAAAAATAACAACTAGCCCATTTGAAAATCGCGCCTTTCTTTCCTTCAAAAATCCTGGAAGTAAATAGTACTGAAAGTTATTCATCAATGACAATGTTTAAAAATTTTGATGACAATTGCAAAATACAAAAGTACCAATGTTCTAAGTTAAAAGTATTAGCTAAACTCTTTTCAAAATTTTCGTCAATTTAACATCGATTTTAGATCAAAGGATTTTATTATTTTCGTTGAATGTTTTTGTTAGCCGCCATTTTGTTTTGTACATGAACTGAACATGTTGCGTTGCTTGGCAACGTTAGTTACTCAGTTGACTTCGGTGGCCTTGTAAGTATTGTAGAAGCGGCGCGGCCGGCGGGGATACGCACGCACGGCACAGTACTCGGCGTTAGCTAAATAGTTTTTAACGTCGTTACAGTTTTGCTGTTTCTAACGTCGATAATACGCTTAATAATTAGTAATTTCATTTAACTTGAAAACTTTAGTGTAATCTAGTGTGTGTTATTACTATAAAAATCCTGTGTTCGAATTCCCTTCACAATGGCAACAGAAGTAACAAAAACCGCGCCAGAAAACACAGAGAAGGAGAAGGAATTAAAAGAAGAGGCGGCGGTTGACAATGGTCAAAGTAAAGAGGAAGTGCCCGCACAAAAATCCGAAGAGAAAGGAGATGAGAAAAAGTCAGAACCAGCCCCGCCCAAACCCACTGTTCATAAAGTTAATTATGAAAAAGATGTTGTATATCTGTACCAGTTTTCACGGACGCCGTTGTTGCCATCGACTTCTCCGTACTGCTTGAAAGTTGAAACATGGCTTCGTTTGGCTGGCATAAAGTACGAGGTATGTAGAAGTAGCTTTTGTTCGATCATTGTTAGTTTTGTTAACTTTCGCTAGCGTGTTAACTGTTCAAAACTATGAATTTCTTTTCTAAGTGGCGATTAGCTGAGCTCCTTCAGCACAATACAAATCTAAGACTGTAGAGAGTGATTACTTTCTCTATGTACCTTGAAATCATACATTAAATCGAAATAAGAAATGTCTAGATTCTGCTTTGCAGGTACCTATTTTAAACTTCATTTATTTGGTATTGTACGTTTCTACATTTCGAATTAATTCTGTCAATATACGCTTGGCGAAACGGCATTTGCGAATTTTTGCTATCTACCTACTTTTTGTATATTTTTTAAATTAAAACAATATTTTTTGTTTTCTAATTTTTAATTTAATAGATGATAAAGATTGAGCCAAAGCTTCAGATACATATTCACACAACAACAACAACCACAAAAATTAATAACAAATAAGTTAAATGGCTAGTAATTTATTATAGTCTGTGCATTCATTTAATATCTTTTTGACAGATTGATCGAAGTAAAAATAGAGACATCCTATCACATAACTCGTTTGATTGAAAGCTACTTTCGATTTTTTGCTACAACATTGTTTAATTGATTATAAGTATCGAAATCATTATAGTGTTCAAAAATACTGGTGTTTAATAAATTATTACAGAATCTCATTAGATTTATTATTTTACCTAGTACAAATATTTGTATGATGAGCACGAGTATTTGTTCTGTGTCTGGGTGTGATTTATATATAATATCTATATACAACAAAACAAGCAGTATACTCTTTATACGTTGAACAAACAAAGAAAGTTATAATGTCGGTTGCCTTTGACAACATGATTGATAATCATACAACAGAATGAACTCATCATTAATACTGAGAACACATCTGACGATGAGTCCAGTTTTTATGAAGAATCTGATACGTCTGAATAAATTAAAAATAAACTAAGAAGAAATTTACATAATGTTAACATTTTAATTACTTGGTTTCTACCTTACAATTTGGTTGTTCTCATTTATTTCTACTGATTATTTGTAATCTGTGGTACAATCTTAGTAATCATTATGTGTGGCACATCACTAAGTGGGCGGTACCCATCCATGAAGTACAATATTATTCGTATGACATTTTAACATAAATAATACAAAATTTTATAGGTGTCGATCTGTCAAAAAGATAATAAATGAATGGACAGACTATACTGGGATGAAGTAAAAACAAACTGATAAAGTTTGTGGAATCCAAATGTTATATAAAATGAAATGGAAAATCATCATTTTAGCAATGTTTAATTACTAACAATTTATGAGTATTCAATTAAACAAATTTGAATACTAAAGGTATTCATGATATTTTTCCTTACAATGGAGACAAAGCATGTTCTTTTGTTTCACCTTTGTGGGTATATGGTTTAAAAAACTGTAATGTACTTAATTTAAGAAACAATACAATACAATACATGTGTAACTTTTTTTTAATTGAGTCCATAATATATGAAATGGCAATTTTAAAACCTATACAGCACAAAAAATTAATGATAAGCTATGTTCGGTATTTGCATTGCAGAGGCGACAAATTATTGTTCATGTGAAATTAATCTGTAAAACCAGAAAAATGGATGTTATCATTATTTTATTTCAAAATCAAATGGATTTACTTGTGAATATATTGGTTCAACAATTTTTAATGTGATTCAAACCAAAATGACTCGTTAAAATTTCGAAAACACATGTTGCTAGTCACGAGCGACCTAGAACCGGGTGACCCGATTTCTGCTTGAAACTGTGTGAGAATGCCTGTAAATGTATCATCAATTTGATAATGGTGATGCTCTTTTTTAAGCTGACTACATGAGTGTAAAAGTGGTTATGAACTTTGTACTTAAGGCCCATATCAATAATCAGTCTTCACTAACGGCCAACTTCAGTAATTAATCTCCAGTAACAGATAGGCCCATTAGAGCCTTATGGTTTTGATATTAATATTATTATTATTTAAATTAAACGTAACAACTGTTGCTATGTTATAAAACCCGAATAAGCTTACCTTTAAGTGGAGGTTGATTATTGAAACTGGGGGTAAAAGAAAAAGTTAAGCTTATCCGAGTTTCATTTCTTAGTAACAGTTACATTTTATTAATTTAATTAAAGTAGATTGAATTTGACATAGGTTGTTAGAGGATGAATAAAAAAAAGGTGACAGTACTTTTATTGATTTCAACTACCTACCAATTTTCATGTTTCTAAAACGATACTAAAATTACTATATTTCTAAAATATATGTAGGTTACTTTTGTTGACCAGCATCGGTTGCTGAGGCTAGAGGCCAGGTTGTTTCATCAATAGTAAAATTTGACTAGTTAAATTGTAAAGAAAAATTAACTATTGGACGAAATTTTACACTTTACCTTGTATTTGATGTGGCACTTATTATAATCAAATTTTACTATCGATGAAACAATGCGACAATCTATAGCATATTGGCAGATATCAGGTAGTGATCCGATGAACCCAATGGGGCTTTAACAACATACAACAATAGTCATATGTAAGTTCATGACATGACCATGCGGGTCGGCGGAGCCATCCCAGAGTTGCGAGCAATATTCAACCGAAATATACGATCGTCAATACGGATTTAGGCCGAATCGATCGACTGGTGACCTTCTAGCGTACGTAACACACATCTGGGGTGAAGCTATAGACAAGCAGAGAGAGTCTCTGGCTATTAGCCTTGACATAGCCAAGGCTTTTGACAGGCACAAAACTGACAGGGTCTGGCACAAAAGCCTTCTCTCCAAGCTTCCTGCGTACGGTCTGCCTGCTCAGCTCTGCTCCTGGGTAGCTGACTTCCTGTATGAGCGTAGAATTCGCGTCCTTACGGACGGATGTAGTTCCCAGTTAATGTCAGTGAATGCCGGTGATCCTCAGGACTCCGTACTAACCCCCACACTGTTTCTGATGCATATCAATGATTTCATTCCACTTGCGAATATTCATTGCTATGCAGACGATAGTACAGTGCATGCGAGATACTTTGCTGGACAGGAAGAAACCAAGGAGAAACGGAAGAATCTTGTCGTTGAACTTAATTAGGCTTTGGACCACATTTCCGAATGGGGTACCAGGAACTTGGTTGAGTTCAATGCCAAGAAAACTCAGGCTTGCGCTTTCACGGCAAAAACATCACCATTCCTTCCCCTTCCCTCACTTCAGGGCACAACACTGACTCTATAGAGCAACATTACCATGCTCGGTATGGAAGTTCGCTCAGACCTGAATCCAAAGGACTACATCGAAAACTTGATCAAAACAGCTTCACGCAAAATCTGAGTCCTGAACAAAGTGCGGCGTTTTTTCACGCCCGATCAGCTGTGCTTGTTGTACAAAACGCAAGTGCGGTCCTGCGTGTATTATTGCTCGCACCTCTGGGATGACTCCGCTAAGTACTTACTCGATGCCTTGGATAGGTTGCAGCGGCGCGCTGCCCGCATCATTGGCGATGGCCAAGAAACTGGAATCTACAATTACGCCGCGATGTGGCATTATTAAGCGCATTCTACCGACTATACCACGGCGAGTGTTGTGAGGAGTTATTCTCCCTTATCCCTCCATCACCTTTTCTTCAGAGGACCACGCGCGTTGGCCTACATTGCCACCGACTTACTGTGGCCACTATTCCTACACGAACAAAGAAATTTGGTGACTCATTTCTTTGTCGAACTATTCGTAAGTGGAACTATTTACCCGCGCACGTGTTCCCTCCTTCCTATAATCTGGGGTACTTTATGAGAGGCGTGAAGAAGCATTTTTGCAGGCCGGCAAGGTTAGGATGGTTGGTGTAGCAGTTTATAACTGCTGTACCAGCTATCTTCGCGTTTGGTCTTTATCACCAATTAACATCAGGTGGGGTAGAGTCATTTGCCTACCTAGGAAAAAATCTTAAGATCATAATGTAGGCAACATAATATGTACCTACTCGTAAAGTAGCACCCTAATAAACACTTAGGTGTTATTAGTTTGGCTTAAAAAAGCGGAAAATTTTATTGAAGCCGAGTGTAGTTATACGAAAGCGATTCATTAAGCGTTTCGACGGCGCGTTTATAAGACATGGTGTGCATTGATATTGAGACAGACGTGCCGGTGTCGCGCGTTTTTAATCGACACAAACGCGATGTTAACGCCCACGATACAGACGACAATAAAATGTAGGATAAAAGCGAGATGTGCTCAGGCCCTAAGGTTTATACAAAGATTTTCAGAAAAAAAGTTTTAGGCTTATCTGAGGTAATTTATTGTAGATAGACATATACGAATTCTGAATTTTCATATTTTTGTGATTTCGTAAGCGTTTTTATGTCACGCTCCCTCTGTGATTGATTGTTGTGCTGATGGGCTCCAAAATTTAATTACATAAAAAATATATGTAACATCTTGTAAAACTTATTGAACACAATAAAACATTAAGAATTGAAATAAAAGCATTTCATCTTCAAGCACTATTAATGCTGAAAAAATATGCTTTCTTTTCCTTTATTATCTTGGCTTAGTTTAGATATTACACATGATACACCTGTTTTCTTTCAACCACTACCCATCTTAATCTTCATTATCTGATATGCCTTCCCCCTCCGCCCACAACTATCAAGTAGTCACTACATTTAACATTGTGGGCTGCTCGGGAAAGTTGTTGTCTGTGCAAACAATTTCACTGCTTTTCACATCTCGAAAGCAATAGTGAAGTGCACTTGTCTCTTAATGTAATACAAATAGTGCCTCGAGAATACTTAAATAAATTATAAAGTTTGCAATTTTTGGTTTGTGTAAACTACCCCTAATAAGTATCAGGGTTCTTTGAAACTACCCCTAACGGGGAGAAAAGGGGTAGTAAATTTTACTGGGGAGTATTTTTTTACAGCGGGACTTTTTTCGGAAAACGTCTGAATAAATTAAGATAATATTTGGCACACATTGTTTATACCTGGG